CGTCAGAATCTAATTTTCACATATTTTTCCTAAAATATTTTAATTCATCATCACCTATTTTTTAATTTTACATAAATAAAAATTTAAAAATTATATTTTATACATTTTTTAAAATTAATTACAGGTATTACATTTTAAGTTATTGTTATTTCTGCGTGTAATTTGTATTTATTAATATAATATATTTTATTTATTTACATAAATATGTTTATAATATTAAAAAGATTTATATAATATATATATATGTAGTGAATCAAGTTCGAACATGTTTTAGAAGTTGAAACTGAACTTACCCAATCTGCTCATTTTTTCTACTAATCCGAACTCAATTTTAATGATTAGAAAATTATATTGAATCAGATTCGGACAATTCAAATTAAACAAATTTAGGTACAAAATACCATCTCTGAAATTACCATGATTTGATATAATAATAAACATATGAACGGTCTTATTGACCAAATTAGAAAAACTCAGATATGACTTATTTAACTCATTACAGTGTAAAAGCGGACATAATTTGATATGTACCAAAAAATTAGACAGGAGTGTGCTGAATGATTCTGAGTAAATAATATTTAATTTAATTCTTACCTCAAATCCTAATTCAAATTAAATGAAAATTTTTTTAAATATAAATATTATTATTATTTTTTTAAACTTACGTAATACATAACATAACATAAATATAAAGAATCGTTACAAATTTTGCAAAGCAGGGACACAATCTCTCTCTCATTTTTATTTCATTCTCCAATAATTTAAAAAAAAAAAATTATGAGACATATTTAAATTAACTGTTCAAAATTATATCCTCCACACCACATTTTATGATTAAATTAAAAAAAAAAAACAAAACCTTATTTGTTCCTAATAATAGGATCGTTGATTCACTAATACGAATGTTAAATTAAGTAAAAGTAGATCAATGTATCTAATTAAACACTCCTAAACACAAAGCCACATGTCAAATTATAAGGAGAAAATGAATGAATTAAAATAATTAAGCTCATCTTATAAATTTAAACTTTGTAAAGTAAGAAAAAACAGTAACCCACTTGAATTACCAATACGCTCAATTTTAAAAATGTTATAAATGGTTTTTTTTTTTTTTTTTTAATGTAAACGTGGATATATATATATATATATGTATATATGAAAGCGGTAGTTGGGATACTGGAGTAGTTGTAATCATGTAGGAGTGATTTTTGGACATGGTCTCATGGCATGTAGGGGCGGATTTTAGCATTGACGTGCCGCAAAATGTGAGGAGGCTGGAGGCGTGGAAGTTGTTTGTTGTCCTGCCAGAATTAAATATGCCGACATTTAATTCATGAATAAATTATTTCTACTCTAAAAAATAC